TTCGCCACGAGCCCTGTGGAGGGGAATAAAATAGTTTTTGGGGTGAGCTAAAAACTCAGCGAGTAACCAGAAAATCATTAATCAAATCGGTTTCACAATAGTTCATTTCAATGATGTCATATAGCAATGATGTCATAAATTAAATGATAAATCCGGAAACAACTACATCATTTGCAAAACAGTAAATATGGATTATCGATAATTCAAGAAACATTTACAATGGAAAGCGATAGTAACATTCATGAAAGGATACATTCATTCTCCTGACATTTCCTCGCTCATTTGGTCATTCATTTCATTTCATTCACCCCGTCCCTGGCTTTTGGCCAGGCTCCACCAACCTACATAGGTAATACTCGAGTATACCAAACGTTCACCCAAGTTCCTAATCGCCTGACCGAGTCCGCTTCTGGCTCAAGACGACCGGTAACAATGGGCAATGGCCAGTTCAGCCCAAAAGACTTACATTCATGCGCAAGTAACATTTCAATCGAAAATTTCACATTTATCGAGCTCGAGTGCGATAAAGTACACACTCGCCTCGAAAACTCGTTTTGGAAATCATTATAAGCGCTTAACACGTTATCAACCAAAATACAAGTCATGAAGTCAAGAAATATAGCAAACAAGGCACACTCAAATGCCAGCACACATGATATGCAAGAAAACATTTCAAAAGTAACTTTGGAAACAGTTCAAAAGTAAATAATGTAAGAAACGGTTCATAAATAACTTTAGAAGTAGTTTGAGGTCACTCACCTCCATGGCTCAGAAACCATCCATCATATATCATTGCCTTGCCCAAATCCAAGTCTTAAATCACAAACTCAATGCAAACAAGTCCCTTCAAAGTTCGGACAGCACTTCCCCTAAATTTGTTAACTTTTCCAGCCATCATGGCTTCATTATTTCCTCAGCCAGTCCCAAAGGTACACACACAACAACAAGTTCATCCAATAGTCATACAGCAAGCTCCAAGTAGTACAAAGACAAGTCAAGTTAGGAAAAAGTCCGGAAATGAAAGTTAAGCTCAAAACCAGAAAAATAGGTTTTGACGTCATTTTGCGGTAATGGTACCAAAGGCACTACAATTGTCGGATGAAGGTACAAGATACACCGTTTCGAAGCTAAGAGATAGGGGTACAATATTACAGAAGGTCATTCAACCCAGTTTCGAGTGTAACCAGGTCAAAAATGCAAGATACTACATCAGAATCACAAAAACAGATTCACCAAAACGCATTCTAGCGGAAACATCATAACTCAGGCTCTCCAAGTCCAAATCCAGAAATTCTAAAACCATATGAAAGCTAAGAAACAGGGATAAATTTCATCAGAAGACCTCAACAACCAATTTGGAAGCATTCCGGACCAAAACAACCAATTACAGGCGCAATTCTTACATTCGGGTAAAACCAGAACAGAAAGGGTAATTCCATCTTTTCTCAAGCTACGGTACTCCGATTAACCTGAAATTTTGCAGGAACCTCTAAAATATCATTACCTACAACTTTCATGAAGATCACTCAGTCCAGTTCTCACCCTAACTAGGTCAAATGTTCCAAAACAACCCCAGATTTTCTAGTTCGAAGCTCACTGACGCAGTCCTGATTCATTCAGTCATAACTCAGCACACACAACTCCAAATCAGGTAATTCCAAAGCCATTTAAAAGCTAAGATACAAGGCTAGAATTCGTAAGAAGACATCAACAACCAAATCAGTAGTATTCCCAGTCAAACTAACCAATTACCAAAGCTGATTTCCAGGTTCGGACAGAAACAGGGCAGCAGGGGTATTTTGGTCTTTTCACAGGCTACCGAACTTGGATTGAGTTGAAATTTTGTAGGCAACTATAAAACCTCATTCTCTACAACTTTCATGTTTTGTGCTAAGGCCAATTCGGCCTCTAACTATGATGAACAGTGTCAGACAGAATTTGGGAAATTGAAAACCCTAATCTTGAAATTGTTGCATTCAAGTGCTAATCTTCCACTAAAACATCTCATTAGCCATCACAAGTCATTAATTTAACAAAATCAAGATCAAAGAAAGGATGGTTAGACATGATACCTTGAAATATCAAGAAAGGTGATGGCTTAGGGATTTTTCTTCCAAAACAACTCCACCAATAGCTTCAATCTTCCTTAGCTAGCAAGTTTTATGGAGTGATTTGCAATTTAATCGGTTAGAAATCAAGATTGGAGGAAGAAATTGAGGTGCAAGATGCTGGATTTTCTCTCTCTTTCTCTCAAAATTTCGTCCATCATGCTTACAAGAAGAAGAAATGATGAAAACAAAAGGTTTGGTCAAGATAAGAAGAAGAAATCATGGTCTTAGTCAAAGGTCCAACTTGCAATGGGTTTGTGACACTTGGCCCTTCTAGTATTTTCTTTAATCCTTTGCCTTCCAATGGTTACATCATATAACCACCCTCTAATCATTTCCTAGCACCTTGTAAAATAATAACACTTAGCACACAATTCACTTAGTCACCAAAATTATATCACACTAGCGGGTCCCACGTCCAGTATAAGCTCTTAATTTCTCAAAAACTAACCGATACTAGAAAAATCATTTTAAAACTATTTTTGCTTATAAACTTTATCTGGGAAATTTTTCTAATCAAGAAAATGTAGAAAAGGCGGGCGTTAAAAAAAATAAACCCTAGAAAATTAGAAAATTTCCGGGTTCTCAAACTCAGTTTTTTCGAGGCGTCACACAATACGTGCTTAGCTTGCTTGTTTTATGCTTATTTGGTTAAAGTGCTCTTGTGACTCGTTATGTGACATTTTGGAAAATGAGTTCCGATCCATCGAAGTGCGCAGTGTGTACTTTATCACACTAGCCGTTCGAGTGGTGACTTGCGTGAAACATTTTCTCATGAATCTAAATATAGTAACGTCACTGGAGTGAATCTCCTCGACTCTCACAAGATTAAAAAGGGATAGCGGCCGATGATGGCCTATTAACATGGCAAATACCTGTCAAGTAACCGTCAATACTCCACCGTTAACCGTCAACCGTGAACCGTTAACCGTGAACAGTTTATCAAATCACGTGACTACCTGATAACTTGATTCTCTGTTTACTCGATTTCCAAGTTACGTGACTTCGTGATAACCGTGAATCACATGCTCCCATGAAATCAACTTGTATTGCTTACGTGCTAAGTGTCCACTTGAGTATTTGATTATCATGAATCACATGTTACATGAAGTTGTCCATCATTGTTAGGCGAGTGTGTACTTTATCTCACTCGACCTATTGAAATGATGAGTTTACCTTTTGTCGAATTATTTGGTTACTTGTGCATGTTGTAAGCTATAAGCTGAACTTGGGCCCTGCCTCGGTTACTGACCTACTCGAGCCAGGACTGGGCTCGGTCGGGTAGGTTGGAGCCCTGGACAACCGTTTCGGTATACTCGAGTACTACCCCTGGAGGGATAAGGTGATGGCCAGTCAACCGTGGGGATCCAGGAGTTATAAGGTGCCGATGACCGACAAAGTTCCACTGGAACACAGTATCCTTTCGTGCTTGCTTTACTATTAATAATATTATTGCTCTCCTAGTTGGCATTCTCGGGTAAGACTCCTCATGAGCATTAACCTCTGAGATGAAGCAATCCTTGTAATGTTCTTCTAGTCGGACGAGCCACTATTTGTTTGACTGAAAATTTATGAAAATATATTTATATGGCCATTCATTCCAAAAGTACTAGTTCTACATGTGTTTTCAAGGTAGCAATTACCCGTGTAATGATTATCACCTCATGGTAACATGCCATTGTGTAACATGCCATATGATATGCACAACTTACTTGACCTATTTGAATTGTTAGAGCGTCTTGGAACCTCACTGGGCTGTGTAGCTCATCCCACGTTGTGGTTTTCTTTTACAGGTTTTGACAACTGAGGAAGACTTGAGATCTACTTGTACTTTAAGCATGTAGTTTGAATTGAACAATGTAGCTTTTGTTTCGGGTTCCCACTTGAAGCTGGAAAGGTGTAAACCCTGGGTTTGTATGTGACTTGTACGAACGTATTTGAATTGTATGTCTTATTTCTTGGGTTGTAATCGGGAAGCTATTTTAAGATTCGACGTTTGGCTATCTTATAGTACTGTTATCTGTGAAGTTAATGTGATTTTAGAAATTGATCTATTTTGGGAGAATCGATGTTGTAATAGATTAGGTTATACTTCGGAAGGATTTTTTTTTTTGCTAGCTTGCTTGCATGAGTCCTGGCGAGAGCTAGGCAGACGGCCCGCCAACCCTCTGGTTCGCCTTAGGGGGAAGTGGGTCGCCACACATTTCCTGTAATTAGGTTCAAATACCAAATATAAGTATATTTCAACAATTAAAACAATATTTGGCAAGGACAAAGAGGAAAATTAACCATAAAATTAATAACAAATTATGCCCTATCAGAAGAAACTCTCATTAGAAAATCTTAAGATATATTTTATTCACATAAATGAAAAGAAACTATAGAGAGAGCTTCTCACATAGAGAGAGATTAGAAAAATCTGATCTCTCTCTCATGAGAGAGTTGAATGAGAGTTTTAGTTAGAGAACTTTTTCTAAAGAGAAGAAAGATAGAAGAGGGATGGCCTAAGATATTTTAGGTTAAAATGTTACTGATATTTTAAAAGATGAAGTTGAACAATAAAAAATCACCAATTCACTATGACAAATGGTTACAATGAGCTCAAATTTATTGAAATATCTTCATTCACTGTGCAATTTGAAAATAAACAAATCAATTATGATTTTAAGTTCATTATAATATACATCTAAATTTATACTTAGACTTGGGTATGCTAAGTTCTCCTTATAGTTTATTTGCATGTTAATCAATCCAATAACACTGCAAAACATGAAACTAACAGTGAAGTTTGTGCGCAAAATTTACTTTTCTTTTCTTTTGTTATGATACTAAACCGATATTTATTCTAGTTACCTTTATATTCCTTCAAATGTTCCTGGTTCTGCTACATAGGGAAAGTCTTCAAGAGTACTCTATAGAGCTCAAAAGGCTTGCCTTGAAGATTCTCAGCCTAATAGCAAAAGCATTAGGAATGAAGCATGAAGAATTGAAGTGCTTTTAGAAGAAGGGTTGCAATCCATGAGGCTCACTTACTATCCTCCAAGTCCTCAACCTGAGCTGGTCACAGGCCTCTGCCATCACTCTGATCCTGTTAGCCTCACCATTTTACTTCAAATCAATGATGTACAAGGTCTTCAAATCAAGGAAAATGAAGCTTGGGTTCCTATTATTCCACTTCCTAATGCTTTTATAGTCAACGTTGCTGATATCGTAGAGGTAAGTATTCGCATAAATATAAGGCTTTATTGTGAATTGCCCCATTAACAAGTACATGCTTTTCAATTTGCTCCATCGTTGTTTGTTCTAAGGGCCAGTCACACTCTGCTCTGCTAAACTTTGGGGGTAGGCACACTTTTGACTTTACTATTACGAGCCTTAAAATTGTATGCTTGGCCCCTTGAAAACTAGTCAAAGATATAAATATTAACGTCATAAGGAAAAAAGTGAGTGTAAGGATGTTAATGCCCTTTCATTTCTGAAATGATTAATAATTTATCATTATTGCCATTTTGTTGCTAAAAAATTTATATCTTCTCTATAGTATCTAATATACAAAAATCAAATTAATAAAACCAAAAAAAGCTTTTTCAATTTAATATCCTTAAAGTCTTTTCAAATTCATGTTGAATTAATGTTCTTTTATCTTATACATTGTTTTCAATTTATTGGACTTTAAATCTAATAGTAATAATAAATAATGTAGTAATAAAAAAATAATATAGTAATAACAATAAATAAAGTTGGCAAACATTTGAAATCATGCTATAATATTAAGCTTGTTACTACTTAACAACGTAATATTTTATTCTTTTAGTTTATGTAAATTGTTAGAAGAATATTTTTGTTATATTTTGTTTGTCAGATTAGTCAACTATGAATTACTTAACTAAATTTTTAATAAGGACTAATATATATTACATCTAGACTTAAAGGAGAATAAATAGAGAATAAATAAAAAAAATCACTTTCTTCACCAGTAAAAGGGCATTAATAGTAAACTATATATAATTTCATCAACAAAAGAGCAATATTGTCATAACACTCAATTTTCTTGACAAAGTTAAGATTTCAAACATTGACAAAGGTAAGATTTCAAATATTCGCTAGATTTCTGGTGGTGTGAGGTGCATATTTTTAAGGTTTAAGGTGGTAAAGTATGAGTACCTCCAAATCCAAAGCTCAGGGGAACAAAATGGTGAATAAGCTTTGTTTTGATTGGATCTGTCCTCTCCCTAGACTTCCAATATTTACATTTTGTTTCCAACATTTACCTATAAAAGCCCAAATTGTCATGTGGAATGCACTTACTCTCCGACTACAATTAGCTTACATACCAAATTTTTAGTAACTTAGTCATCAGAATCTTTTGCCAAGCTGTGACTGATAAAGCTATCAGAACTTCCAGTGTCCACCAATACGTTCACTACTACAGTTCTCATAACCTATTGTAGAGTAATGGTCTTTCTTTTGAGCCCAGAAGACAAAATATGAAATGACATGTCTACCACAACCCCAATATTACTAGTAACCTTATCTTGCTTCCCTTGGACATCTGCAAACTCAATTTCCTCCTCTTCGTCTTCTGCCATCAGATGCAGCTGCTTCATTTTACTTTGATGTCCTGCTCCAAATTTGTTGGCACACTTGAAACAAAAATTATTATCCCTCTGGTATTGGATGGTGAAATTTTCTATATGATGTTAGGACTAGAATCTTGATTAGCAGAAGCTCCTTTTTCAACTCGATAATGAGGGAGCCTATAGCTATTAGTTCCAATACCATGGCCAATTTTGATTTTATATAATTCAAATCTGGAGTCCACATTCTGCCTACCCCCTTGTCTAATCTGTCTACATCAAATGCTACTATTAAAATCTCAGGTTTGAACATCTTGACTGTGCCTAATTTCTTCTCTAAGCCCGCTAATGAAACTGGAGACAGAATATCGTTCACTGAGTCTTATTACTCTCGAGGAGCATCAAAGTTTTCAAGTGTTCAAACTTCTCTTGGTATTCTTCTAAATTACCAATCTATTGCGACTTATTGAATTTTTCCAAATTTCCTCTGTCAACAAATGTGTGCACGATAGTTCTTTAATTCCTTCCAAGACAAACTAGCTAGGTTTTTCAATCTTGACCCCCCGAAACTAGTTATTTGTTCCCTCATAATACATTCCAATCACATTCATTCTATTTTAATCAAAAAAATTTGTAAAACAAGAATAATTTATGGCATTTTCTGACTCATTCCCTGAGATTATCCCCAAAGAACATAGGTAATTCAACCTTAAGAGTAACTGGGAAAAGGAATCCTACTCCAGTTCTCCTTAGTAGTCGCTCCAGGCTCATTGGTGGACAGCAACTTCGTTGCTTCTAAGAGGTGGGAATGTGTTGCCTCCACTTCTCCCTAAGACGAACCAAAGGGTATCGGCGGGATGCCTGCTCAGTTCTTGCCAGAACTCGATACAAATTCAATTCAAACTTAAGGATGACTGTCGATACTAAAAGTTGAAGGTATAAAGAAAGGTTGTTTCCTTAGAAAAAACGTTCAAGTCTTATATCACAAGATACCAAAAGTACATCAATAATCCCAAAATATATAACCTCCAAAAGTTGTCTAAACAATTACATTCAAAGCCCTAATCAAAAGTCCAACAAATTGGCTTCTCTATAATTCCTTCCAATTCAGCTCCTGTTAAGGAAAACAAATCTAACGGGGTGAGCAAATGCTCGTGAGGCCAAGAAACACACATGCAAACACATAGTCCAAGTAGCAATCACATTTATACAATAAGTATAAATTGTAAAGTTCGAGTATTTAGCATTTCAAGTAGGGAAAGTAAATAGAAACAATTCAAGGATATTGTAGCTCTTAGGAGCTAAATTCCACGTAACCAAGTCAAGGTCTTGATCAATTCCATGTTGACACTTCGTCAACCACATAAGTATCAAATCCTGTCACCGTTACACCCCCTTACCGGGCCTGCTCATCAAGGTTTTGATATGACTCGAGTATATTAGGGTAATATTACGCGAGTATGCCAAGCAAGATCTCTCCAATAGATCAAGCTTTACGAATATCTCATGGTTTGCCAAGCTTATCGACCAAGCTCATGCTGGCTCGATTCGTAAAGTTAGCCAACAAGTTTGGGCATCCCCCGAATACGAATATAAGTCGAGGAGACCACACTCCAATCGATGATCACAAATACGAATCACAACCATATCACATCACATGAGTCGAATATTAATTCACACGAGTCGAGTATCAATTCACATAGTGAAATTTAATCATAATTTCATGAAAAAAGAGAACGAGTGCGACAAAGTACACACTCATCTCAACAATTCGAATTCACATAATACACAAGCAATAATCCACGTATTTGACAACAATTCATACACTTGACACTCACCAAGTCAAAACAAAAGTGAGTGAGCGAGCAATTAATCCTTTAGGCGTCCGCTTCAAGATTCTCTTGAAAATCTCCTTGAACGCCTGAACAAATAACAAGTACTTTTACTCGCAACCATGTATTAACCAATAACGAAGGTACACTTATTTAGACTAAGTCCATGTCTCAAAAGAGAACCTTAATCACTCAAAAATCGAAGTTCAAAAGTGAGAATTTATTAACATAAAAAAAAACTGATTTCCTCCATAAAATCGAGTTTAAAACGATCAATCAATATCAAAGGATAGGGAAAAGTTTCCAAAAACTCACTTCTCATCAAGTCGGAAAATTTCAGTTTTGCGCGTTAAATTTTGAAAAATCAGATCTTGCACTCGGTAGGTCTAAAAATGGAAACTATATACGTTGGAATCTTGGTTCGGAGTACTAAAATTTCCTAGAAGACACTTTTTCAAGATTCTACACGGAAAGCATTCATTTTTCAGCTCAAAGGTTCAGTTCCTAGAAGACAGTTTTGAACTAGTCTTATTTTTCAACAATCATTGGAAATTCGGCATAATTCACAAAAAGTGAATCAGCCTTTGAATTTCATAACACAATAAAATTTCCAAACAAGGTTTCAAACATGATAAACGGAACTAAATTCGGAATCTTGAGTATCAAGATATAGCAGTTTAAAGTCGGTAAATTTTCACTACTAGAACAGTGAATTTCCAGATTTAAAAGGCTATCTTTGTAGCATCATTTGGATATCGAAAGGTTGTTGAAATAATACCAAATTTGATACACTTAAACCTCTATATGTGAACTACCCTTGTATCAAATTTCACGCAAAAACTTGCATGGGAAGGCAGTTAACAAAATGACTAATGTTCATAATATGTTTCAAGGCTAATCTGCCTTCTCACTTTTATTTCTTTTCCAAACATTTTGCACAATGAAATGAGCCCAAATTCGATCCATTTTTTGAAACCAAGGTCCTAGGAACCTTTAATAAACACTTGATGGTTGATTGAGATCAAAATTTTCGAAATAAAACATCCCACAACAAACTAGACCAGTCGGCCAGCAAGAAGGAAAAGCTTTCCAGTTTTCCAGCTTTATTGCACTTTGGAAATCAGACCACATCTCACTCAATACAAGTTCAAATTAAGAATGGTTGGTGGCGTTGGAAACTAGGTTCAAATTGCTTGAATTCATCAGAAGGAAATGTTTCCAAATTCAGTTCACAATTGGTTCAAAAACAGGCTACAAATTGCAGTTTCTCATTTCCTCTCAGACAGATATTCATAACAGGGCAGCAAATTTTGACGAATCACTACGGATGACTCAAAATGGACTAGCAGGTGATTTTTATACCGTTAGAAATCTACGAATGTCTAGTTTTGAATGCCGCTAATGGCACTCAATTTCAATTTTTGTACAAAGAGATATATTCGAACAAAGAGGTACTGTTCGCCTGCCAGATTACCATTTCCAGATTTTTTTCTTTTTCGAAAACTCTAGTTTTGTTCAACCAAATGAAACTCCGACGACATTTTGTACACACAATATAAAACATACAACCATCAATTTCACATCAAAACAAG